GGGCATGTCGACGCTGACGTTGAAGATTGCGCCGCCACGGAAAGGAGGGAGAGGAAGTAGTTCGGTGGTGGTTTCGGCGACGGTCTCCGTAGAGCCCTGGGACTCAGAGTCCGGATTCTCCTCCAGGATGGTTTGGAGGGATGTCCAGGGCGTCGGCCAACGTGCAGCATGTTGACGGTCGGCGGAGGTCGGTCGGCGATCTGGTCGGTGAGAGGATGGACATCTCCAACCTAGTCGGCGAATTTGCCCCTTAGGGCATCTTGGTAAGCGGTAGCGGCATTGGTGAACCCGAAGGATAGGGCCGTAACCCCTGGAGTTTCCCGAGCAGCCTTCGACAGATCTGGATCGGAGGGTGGTCGGCGCTGAACCAGAGTGTCCAGAGCCGATTCGGCGATGGAGAGGCAATCGGCGAGCTTCAGACCAACCTGATCGATGGATGCGATCAGATCGTCATTGTTGATCTGCCTCCTCTGGTAGCGAGGAAGCGGGCGGCGAGTTGTCGATGAAGGCGACCTCGGAAGCGGTTCTGAGACCGGATCTGTAGTTGCAGGTGCTGGGGTGATCGGCGTCGAATTGATCTGTACCGGCTCGATGAGCTCTCCGACTCCGTCAGCTTTGATGATCCACGAGATCGATCCGACTGTGAAGATCTGGCCGGGCTGCGGGAGGGACGAAGAGCCCGCGGAACGTACCATCTTGTTCGATGTAGAAACAACACACACACCCCTACCTGGCGTGCCAACTGTCGACAGAATATCATCGACAGTTCTCCGAGGGGTATCCCACGAAGGTAAATTGATTGGTAGAGAGGTGTGTAATCAAGAACAAGAAGGCAACAGAGACACATGAGTTAGACAGGTTCAGACCGTCAGTATGACGTAATACCCTACTCCTGTGGTATGTTGGTTTGTATTGGCTATCGTATGATATTGCGTGAGTTTGGAGGGGGGCCCTGCCCACCTTAGATAGTCCGGGGGGCAGGGTTACAAGTCGGTTAACTCTGAGAGATAACCGGAAAGTAATAACAGATTACAGGAATCTTGGGATCATATGTATCCTAACAGATCTCGTAGTATCTTCAGGATATCTTTCCGGTGTCTTGCGGGAGACGCCGAGCAGCGCCGTGCCCCGCAAGGCTTCGTCTTGTGGGCTGGACCGCCTCTGGGGGCGTAGCCCATGTGGTCTGTCGTGGGTATCCGGGGTCGTACCCCCTACACCTATAATATATGCGCATTCTTTTTTGTGTCGGCAACCTACAGCCTATTCGGCTAGGCTTATACGATCGTGGATTATAAGCTGGAACAGTATTTTTCTCTCACACCAAACCAGCCAAACCAGCCAGCAGTAAATAATCCACGATCGTTTACGATGAAACGAACAGGCTTATTCCTGGTTTCACCTGAGGCCGTGATCAGAGTCAAGATAGCAACAGTAACGGTTCCGTTCGTTTGGAGAAATCTAGATGAATATATGAGAGGAATCAGCTGGCTATAGTAAATTTCAGCTGGCTACGGTGCTTTTTTAGCACCAGCAGAACGAGGCCAACGTATCCTATCCTTATTCTAGAAACTGAACACATCTCTGCCAGTGGTACTATTGAAAAAACAATGCATTCCATCCGATCCGACTTAGAGCCTGCTTGGTTCTGGCCACGGTTGGCCACGCCACGGTGTGGCGGTGGCGGCCAGAAAGTGCGCCACACTCGCCACAGTCTCGCCACAGTTATCACGCGCTAGACGATGAGCAGCAAGAGCAAACGACAAGTTAAAATTCTGTGGCGGCCAACGCTTCTATGAGAACCAAACAACAGCTTAGGTTGGTGTAGCGGCCGTAGTTTAGGCGTGGCGTGCTGTGGCTGCAAGCCAAACACGCCCATAATCCTCCATGAGTTTTACGTTTCTATCGCTAACGCTTTGTGCTGTGCTGCTGTTACTGAAACTTTAGATAGTTTAATTAGAGGAGAAAAAGAATTGCATTAAGCCCAGTCACATGAAAAGCTTGACAAAAGATACCATTGGATTGGATATCAACCACCGTTGGTGTCTGTAAGATCGACAGTGACAGGCTGACAGCTTTCACGATCGTGCACTGTCCTTTCCAAAAAGGTACAACAATTGAAAGCATCTTCGGCTGCATATTATCGCAGACAAAGAAAGTAGTTTACTGGTCAGATAATTGAAAGCATCTTCTGTGGTCTGCGCTATTGGAGGTACGGTAGTAGAGCTTGAGAACGGCTAGCAGGATTATGCTACAAACTACGAAGCCTGTGTGCCCTGAAAAGGATATGGCAAAGCACTGTACATGTTGACGAAATGTTTGTCCACTAAACAATCATGGATGCTTATTATAATGCAAACAATCATTAGAAACACAAATAATGATGCAAAATTATGCTGCACCTTATATTTCTTCGAATTCATTTAGGTCCGTCATACGTGTTCATTGCAGGTCCTACCATTTCAAATCACTATACATATAGCATGCTTTGGATATGAAACTTTAGATATTCTGGGAAGCTTTTAGTGGCTCTGGCTTTTTCACAAGAATTTTGGATAAAAAGAAGGTACAACAATACCTGAATGTGCATCTCGATAGAGTGATAGACCTTTTTTCTTTTCTTTTCTTTGCCGGGGTACAACAAACCAACTTTGCACTACCACTCGAATAAGATCTTGTTGAATCTCCTATAGAAAATGAGAATGAGATCCAAACGTTTGAATTCTAAAATGAGATTCTGCAATCCAACCATCTACCACAAACCTGCTACCTGGAGACTTTTACTGTGCAATAATATTTTTTTAGGAATATGGAGGGGCCTGGCCCCTACAGTGATTTATTAAACCGAAACAGGAAACCAGTCCAAAAGTCTAAAGAGACTACAAAACGGCTAAAGCTACACAAACAAAGTAGAGGAAAACTTAAGAAACAAAAAAAAAAAAGATAAGAAAAAGAAAGCTGACTATCCCAGAGTTTGTATCCATGACAGAAGTGGCTCAGAGAGGCTTGACTTCACTCTGTAGGAGAGAAGTGTCAATTCCTTGAAGAGGAATCTTCGACAATCCTGCAAATCGAATCTTATTCCTTTGAAAATGAGGTCGTTTCTAGCTGTCCAGATTGTCCAACACATGAGGATTATTGCCTCCATGAAGAACTGTGATTGTAACTAGTCTTTGAGCAAAGATGTGGCTTCTGGGAAATTGCAGTCCACTGAAACATCAAGGTTGATGATATCCCAGCACATTCTTGCAAAGTGACAGTCTAGGAAAAGATGTTGTGAGGATTCTTCTACTAAGGCCGCGTTTAGTTCGGCCACCGAATCGGCGCCGCCGGATTCGGTGCGCACTGTGGCTACTGTAGCGTTTTGTTTTTATTTGGTAATAATTGTCCAATCGTTGACTAATTAGGCTCAAAACATTCGTCTCGTAAAGTACAACTAAACTGTGCAATTAGTTTTTGATTTCGTCAACATATAGTACTCCATGCATGTATCGTAAATTTGATGTGATGGGGAATCTTCTTTTTGCATAGTGCCAAATTCTAGAATTTTAGGTAACTAAACATGGCCCTAGCAGGTTGCAAAGCACATTTGGGGGCTAAAACTGCAGGCCGCGACCCCGATCCCGAGAAGCAGGCAAAGAAGGTCCTGTTGAACAAGTGGAAGCCTCGAGCTCCGGGGTTCTGCCGCTCTGCCCAAGTCACGCCAGATGCCGCCATCGGCAAGAAGTTCCGGGAGACCTTTGCCGAGCCTCTCTCCTTAGCAAAGCGTGCCGCCGTGCATGAGATGTTGCCGGAGCCCAAGAGACGGAGTCACGCCGCGGCGTCGGTGTCCCACTGAGCGCGGAATGTTCATCGTCGCAACGCAGTGCCACAATGAATACAAACAATGTCTTGGTATGGAACGCCCGCGGGATCAATAGCCGGGCGTGTCAGCAATGTCGCGAGGGACACAGAGAAAAATTTATCGGCCGAAATATCCTGATATTTTCGATATATCTTTTTTATCCGTAGGTGTCGATAAGAAAATATCTATCTTTTTCATACAAATTTTGTTTAAATTTATTTAAATTTACTTAAATTTAAATTAAATTTTATTTGAATTTGGTCTGATATTTCCGATATATCATGTTTATCCTCTTTATCTGTGACCCCCGATAAATTTTAATTTCCGAAAATGAAAACCTTGGAGGGACATCGTCGTCAAGGAGCAGAGCAGGATTGCCTTGCGTAGAGTCTCGTCGCAAATCATTTTTCTGTAAATTACAACCTCTTGCGAGCTCTGCGGTGCGGTGGTGTCATGGGGCTGCCGTTCATCAACGGCAGCTCGCCATTGATGTTCCGCTAGCCGTTTTGTAAACTGTATCTTCTCCTTAATGAAATACATGTCAAGCGCGTTCTCGAAAAAATGAGTCCAAGTGCTTGTTTTTCCTTCTTAAGAGATTCCAAGTACTTAGCTGGTCTTTGATCAATAACCAGAAGAAGACCTTGTGTTTGGACTGATAGTAATTCTTCCACAACCATTTGAAGGTAAGATCAACCTCTGAATGACCAACCAAAATCTTGTAGGTTTTGGATGAAGAGAAGACGTTGGATCCCCAAGTGATGTTTCTAATTTTTTATGAGAATTTTTAGTTATTTTTTAGCATATTTGGTGAGAATTAGCAGAGTCTCTAGTTAGTAATAGTAAGGTGTACTTGTATTTGAAACAGAGGGGCATGCCAATGCTTATTGCTAAGCGATTTATACTAACAAAACATAAGCAGTTCAGCCCATTCCAGCATGCATCGCCAAGCCATTTTGCATGGCGCCAAAGCAGCTGAGCAGGACGTGATCACTGATCAACAGAAGATAAAGACGACAATAACCTATATATGACCATGTGGTCATTTGGACAGTTCGGTAAGCATTGCAAAGCAGCAAAGGGGCAGGCAAAAGTAGCAACAGAACTCGTAGTGATCTCTGAAGGACAGGGCACTTCTCAAGGCAATGGAATGAAGCACTGGCTAAGCCATCCAATCAGGAGGGTAGCAGCCGCCCGGCTCTGGCACTGGCTGCTGGTTCATGTCCATCGTATGATATCTGCATAAACGGAAGTAGTGCAGGATTCAGGACAGAGAGACAACTTACATGTGTGTGTGTGACTGTGTGTATGAGTGTGACTGTGTGTATGAGAGAGAGAGAGAGAGAGAGAGAGAGAGAAGAGATTACGTGGGTTGCAGAGATGGGTTGCTCTCCAGAGACTGGAAGAAGTGTTCTGGCTGTGGAGGGTCATGGGACAACATGCCGCCTCCGTCTTGCCACGCTAGCTGCGGGGGAGAAGCCTCTGCCTCACACTCGTCCAGCTGAAACAAATAGTATTCCGGCAAAAAAACAAAAGAGAGTTGGAATGATGCAAGCAGAGGCTACAGCTATGAACTGCATATACACATGGCATCATTGGTTCAGGCTTTCAGCTTCAAAGTTGTGGTGGCAAATGCAGAGGTAGCTGAAGGGTCATTGTTCATATGGGTACTATTGCCAGTGCCAACCGTGCGAGCTACGAGTTTTCCAGTTCAACTGTCACTTACCTTCCTTTTCAGAACCCTGTTTGCATCTTGCAGCATTTGTTCCTGCAAGAGATGAGGGCCGGTTGCTCAGGCATATATTGGATTTCAGTATTGAAACAGAGAGTCATAGTAGCATTGCTGCGGTGATAGTACCGTTCTCTTTAAGTCGCAAAGTTCATCAAGTAGAACTTGAGTCTGCCAAATGCAAATGAAGAGACGCATAGAAGAGTTACTTGGATAGCAACATGGTGGGGCATTCCAAATTTCAGGTAAATTGAAAGTAGCACAAATCAACATTAAATGTTAGTAAAAACAAGAACAAACTTAATTGTATACACCTCAACTTTTTAATTTCTACCTTTTCAAATTTTAACTACAATGAAAGTAGCACAAATCAACATTTATCCACCGCATCCTGTCTTTTCAAGTGAGATTCATCTAGTAATTAATTGAATGAATAATCAATGTAAGTCCAATTGCACTATCATGGATTGGTTCAGATATAAGGTAGGAGGAAAGTGCCAAGGCATGCATTATAAAAGTTTGTTCACTATAATTCTGTTCTGCGCAAAATACCATTGACATCATTCATCCTGAATCCCTTCCCACTTAATTAGCTAGTTTACCTTTCTTGATCTTATTTGCTTCAAGGTCTTGTCTACTTGACTCTCAAGCTGGTCAAGTTCACTAGGGCCAAGTGGAGCCAGATCTTCACCAAGAAGATTCCTGCAGTGGGTTCACCAGTACTTTCTTTACCAAAACAAAGCAAATATTGGAGTGGAACCATATAGAGGAAAAACAAGAACAAACTTATATGGAAATATCACACCTTTGCGAGTGTTGTAAAACCTCAACTCGTGCCTTCAGCTTCACATATTCTTGATAGTTATTCTGCATTTTCAGATATCAGACATTCGATGGAGAAATCCCAAAACTATCCATACGGTCCGCAGCTAAACTATCTAGAGGTGATATTCAAAACATGCATATTATTTAAACATGTCTACTCTCTTTAATTTATTTTCAGGCCACATTTTTTTACCATGATCCTATTATGTTTATAGTATATGATAGCGAACATAATGAGAACATATACATGAGAAATATAAGGGGCCCTTTGGATTGCAGGATTTTTTTTTTCTTGTTTCCTGCATTCTTCCCGTGAAAATAAACTAATTCGTGTGAAATTTCTGTATTCCAATTTGCAAAGGTGCCCTAATAGTTTTGCTGTGCACTATTGATGATAAAATCTTTTTTAATAAAAATAGTGGTCAGTGTTTTAACAGATGGATTGCATGTATTATATAATGCACCATCTGTAATATCACCATTAAAAGATGTAAGACGTTATTAATCTAGTACCATATACTGTTCTTAGTTAAATCCATACAGTAGAATAGCTGTATGTAGAAATTTATCTTACTACTAGTAGATCATAAAACGAGCACTATGAGTCTGACAATTACATGTTACTATCAATTGCACGTTACTATGACGGGGCCTATATATGATAGCTGCACAGCATTGGTCATCTATATTGGAAAAGTATTTTGAAAATTGATACAGGTAAAGTTTACCATAGTTTATTTTTTATTTAATTTCTTAAAATAATAAATTTCTCCCTGCGTGACTTCATGCAGATATATCCAGCCAGGTTATTTGATGCTGGATGCTTCATTGGATTTGCAACCAGCCAGTTACTGATTAATTAAAAATAATGTTAACATGGACAACATGGATGAAGAAACATTCCACGAAATTGTTTGTGATGAGCTGGAACACTCGATCAAGCACTGCCACCATGACAGGGTAGCATACAAACTGATGAACTAGGCCATAGCACCTCACACTTGATGACTGATACAGTGCATACTCATTTTTTCTTTTCTTCAATTGCTATATCAAGTATTGCAATTTGTTTCAATGTTTCTCATGGTTCGTCCTTATTTTTGTGAGGATATGTTCTAGACCTGCTGTCCAAAACCCAAACAAACTGAAACTACTCAGATTTACCAACTATAGACAGAAATTTTCATGACTCGTCAATTGATAGATCATCAGTGCACTGGTCTCCAAGAAGACTCTATGCATTAAAACAACAGCAGTTTTCTAGCGCATTTGACTTTGTGCCATCCTAAGGATTGGAGCAAAAAGTGTCCGAACTAACAGTAGCTCTTGTACATCCAAATTAAATAAGTTGAGAGCTAGGGTTTCACTAGTGCCTAGTTTTATACTGAATCTATTTTCATGGAAATCATTGCTTCAGAAATGAAATATTGAAATAGAAAAGCACAGGTTGATGATAAAGTGTTTTCACGAGAAATGAATGATAATAATTAGAACAATAATAAACCAATAGTTTTCTTATTATGAAAGGTATTATTTGTCGGTAACAATTGATCATGTTTGAAGAAATCATTAACCTGATGTGTATAGTTTCAGAACTTGAACAATGTTAGTAAAATCAGGTAGTTATGAGAGGGACACATGATATAAAAGTAGTATCACCTATAAATGTTGCAATAGTAGTAAAATGGATAGTCCTCACACCTGCATCTCATCGCTAGATGGCACTGCAGCATCAGCTGAAGCATAGATGTACCTCTGGTACCGCTCTAGAGTCTTAACCAGACTGATATTAAGGCAATAAAATAATGAATAAGTGATGCATTCGTATATATATGTACATATAGAAATAAAACTATGAATTGACTAGAAACCATACCAGCTAGACAATAAAATGCAACCAAAGTATTTATTATGATATGGATCAGTATATTTCCATATATACTACTATCTCCGTTCCAAAATGTAAATCATTTTGGGTTTGACCAAAGTCAAATGTTCAGTAATTTTGACAAGTTTGTAGAAAAAATATGTTAGCATCTACAATATGAAATAAGCGCATTATAAAGACATATTTCATGGTAGATTTAACAAAGCTAACTTGATGTTGTAGTTGGATGTTTTCCCATAAACTTGATCAAACTTAGAAAATTTTAACTTAGGACAAAACTAAAATGATCTATACCTTTTTAAAGGTGAAAATGGCTGCCAATGTTATATAAAATCGACTCTTTGCATTTATTTTACACAAGACCACTTTAGTGGCAGCTAGCATAATTATGCTGTGTACCACGGTTAATGTGTGTATACATACTAGTCTGCTCCCTTTTTGTGTAATAGTAAAAGTGGAGAATCAATTAAAAGCACTTAGAGCTACTGATTACCGAAAGAACACAGCCCAAATTGACACCAGACCACTTCAGTTTTAAATCTAGTGTAGTTTTTACAGGCTACTTTTCACATTTCATGCTTCACTAAGTACTCCATTCGGTTCCACAATTCTTCCGTTCTGGACAAGGTTAGGTCAAACTTATACAACTTTGACTATAAGGAACTTCTAAAAATATTTAGTTTGAAAACACTAGGACAAATAATTAAGATTAGTCTTAAAAAGTAATTTAATAAAATATATATTTATTGATTTTTGTAAATGTCATAATAAAAAATCATAGCCAAAGCTATATTTTGGAGAATGTGCCATTGTCCAAGATGACGAATTATGGAACCCTGCATAGCGGAGTAGGGTGTGTTTGGTAGGTTCTAGATTCTTATAGAAATATTTTGGATTCACTAAAACATTTCTTTAGTGAATCAAAATCAGTTTATTGAGTCGTTTGCAGGTTCCCTAGCTAGATTGGGATCAGAAAAAACTAAAATCAGGCAAAACAACTCTATTTATCTCTTGTAGTTCAAAAAGCTTAAACGTTTCTCCCTGATTTACATAGATTTCTTTGTTTTTTTTACAGAGTAGAAATTGCACATAGATCTTCTCAACGTACATTACATTGTTGCAATAATAGTACCTTTTTTTTGGAACAATGCGATAATACTTGGTACTATCACATATAATGCGAAAAACAGAAGAGAGTAGTGCTAGAAATTACAAAATGTATCACAACTCGCAGCTCCTAAAAGAAATTAAATAATATTCATTTTTTATTATAATAAAAAGAAAGATGCTTGCAATTAGCAATGTATTGGGAAAAGTGCATGCATATGTTAAAGACCAATTCATGTTACGTTCAAAAAATGTTTTATATATGTTTGCCCATTATCTAGACATCATGTTATATCCAAATAACAAACTTAACTGTGCAGAGTATATGCTGAAGACAAGTATATGCTGAAAAGAATTGTATAAAGAAGTACTTGCCGAACTAAAACTCACAAAATTTGCATGCATATGTTAAGACCATCCACTAACATGCCTGCAGGAAGGCACAGTTCACCCAAGGACCAAAAGACCATATTCACACTCTTGTCGAACTGCGCGCTAAAACAGCTGCGTTGAATCAGGCTAAGCGTATGCATATGTGCACAAACATGAACTTATACATTTGCAGGCCAGGTACACTGATCAGGTGCACATCAAATGAAACCCTTTATTTTGTTTTTCCCTTGAATGACACACACATAGACATGCATACACGGTATACGCGTACATGTGTCGACCTCCTGCTCACTTTTCCCCGGCCCCCCGTCTGTTTGTAGACTTTCTATGCAACCTTCTGAAAGAGATGTGTACTGTACCACTGTACCAGTTGCCCAATAGAACAGAGAAAGAAAAGGAAACCAGCAAATTAAAGAGCGCCACCTCATGAGTTCATGCAAGGACGCGTGAGGACGGGCAAACAAAATCCAAATCGAATTACGTATGAAGAATTAGCAAACAAAAAAAGGAGAGGGGAATTGAAGCGACGAATATATATGGGTTTGTTTGATTACTTGGAGGAGGATGAGAACTGGTAGAGGCGACCGGCGTGGGAGAAGAGGACGAGCGCGACCTCGGCGTCGCAGAGGATGGAGAGCTCGTAGGCCTTCTTGAGCAGTCCGTTCCGGCGCTTGGCGAAGGTCACCTGCCGGCTGATCTTGTTCTCGATCCGCTGCAGCACCACCTTCCCGCGCCCCATGGTGGTGGTCTGATCTCTCGACTAGTCACGCCCACGCAGGCTTCCCTCTCCAAATCGACGATCCTTCTGCTGCTTTCTCTCGCTACCAGCAGTAGGTGGCAGTAGCTAACAGCGAGAGCTCTTAATAAGCTATGGGATTTGCGTGTTCGTACCGCAATTATTGACGAAGGTGATCCATCCCATTCACCCTCTAGCGCAGACACACCGGCCGCACACAGGACGGAGCTCGCGCTCGCTGCCGAGTCGCTGCTCGTCCTCCTCTGGGTTTTTCTAGCTCCCACTCAATTAGCTCGATGAGGGGAGGGCCCTGCGGCATGTGGTGGTGGGCTATATGCTGCTAGCTTGCTCTGGCTGGGAGAGAACCGAGCCGAGCGAGACGGATGAGAGAGCGAGGCCGGCGGGGAAGAATCTTTTCTTTCGTGGGGTGCAGATTGGATCTCGCCTCGCGCGTCGTCCTCAGTTCCTCACCCTAGCATAGGGTAGGCTCTACCGCCCACTGGTCACTAGGAGGCTCCTAGTCCTAGCTATCTACTCCTAGGTTTCGACCGGCCGCAGGGCGCTGATAGGTTAGCTCCACAGACGACAGATACCACATTTACTCGCATGGAGGTGGACCGGCGGAGAGTTGTACAAGTACTGTACTATACTCCTATACACACAACACACAGTAAAATCCAACCAGCTACCGTCGTCGTCGTCGTCGATCACTGACTCGTGTAGTAGGCTCTCGAAGCGTATGCGTTTGCCCTGACCGCGCCGCGCCTCACGGAGGGGTCCGGACCGGATGGACGCGGCGGTTCCGCTGCGGGCGAGTACCCAACAGCCGCGCCGGTCGGTGGATGGCGCCGCGCGCGCGCGGGCGCGGCGAGAGAGACTGGGGAGACGGTGAGGTCGGCCGTAACGTAACCATCCGTGTGAGAGCGCGGCGAGAGATGGGGAGAGACGCGAGACAGCGAGAGCCGAGAGGGAAGGGGGTCGGGTGGACCGAGGCGGAGATCCGGGTCGCTGCCGCGCACAGGGCCCGAATCAGGACGTGTCGACCCAGCGGTGGTGCCGCGCGAAATGCCTGAAAGCCGCCCACACCCAGCACCACTGCACCAGCAGAGAGAGCTGCTAGCACCTGCGCTCACGCAACGCGGGGCAGCCGCCTTCGGTTCCCTCTATTAGCGCCCGGCTCGGCCAGCGCGGCGCTAGTGCCTAGTAGTGCAAGCTCTGTTTACCGCTACTACCCCGCCACCTCCACCGTCACCCACCGACCCGACCGGGCGGTCGGCACGGGCGAGGCAGCAGCGCGGTGTTCCTTCCCCGCCTCGGTTTCGTCGCTCCGGCCGGCCGATCTGACACGCGCGCGCGCCGTACGTAGGCGGGATTGGACGCGCGCGGCTGGTGGAAGTGGAGCTACACTGTAGCATACGAGTGCGAGCGAACTGCATCTGCATGCGCACAGTGCACGTCGCGTCGCGGGGTCATCTCATCTATCGGCTCCGACGACGGGTCGTCGTCCCTTCTCACGTGACCGACGTCCTTCGCGTCCCTCCCGGCCTCTCACCGTGTGACGGTGTCAGTCAGGGTGGCGCGACGCGGGAGGGGGCCTGCCTCCGCACAGCGAGCGCAACTCCTCTACAGGAGTAGGACACCCCTGGCCCAGGCGCCAACTAGCCACAGCCAGCCCAGTAGAATCGTCAATGATAACAGCTGGGGCCGTATAGCCTGACATTGCTGTGGCTTTTTAGTTATACAGTGCGCCCCACCGCCTGATAATTGATTGAGGAGGAGATAGGATGGTTTGATTTTGAACACGGAATGGAAGGGAGTCAGACGGGTACCGTTACGGTAAGGATCGAATATAACTAAGGGCGAGTTTGGATTTTCTCCTCTTTTAAAGCTCTAAAAGTTTTAAAGTATTTTAGCTCACTTTAAATTAAAGCTCTAATGTGAGATGCTCTAAAGTTAATTTAGAGCTAACATAGACCACTTATTTAGAGCTTTAGCTTTAAAGTTTAGAAGACAAAATCCAAACATACCCTAAATCGTAATTCTAAGTGTCGGGTATCCATAGTAGGCATACCCAAAGTAAGGAAGTTCATGTCCACGCTGACTTCCCCGGATGGAGCAAGACGTATTAAAAGGCCTCGCCCGACCCAAGGCCGCGGGGTCTCGACCAAGGCCGCGGGACTCCGTCTCGCCAACCCTTTGGGTGCGGGCTCCGTCTCGCCCGACCCCTTGGGTGCGGGCTCCGTCTCTCCCGACCTCAAGGACGCGGTTTCCGTCTCGCCCAAGGCCACGGGCTCCATCTCGCCCAACCCCTCGGGCGCGGGCTCCGTCTCGCCCGACCTCTCGGGCGCAGGCTCCGTCTCGCCCGACCCCTCAGGCGCGGGCTCCATCTCGTCTGACGGGGACCCATACCGTCGCCAACCACTCCAGGTCCAAGCGTATGGGCCTGGGTCAAAACTCTGACACTAGGGTGGAGACTGGCACACCTCGATGTAACCCGTGGCCATGACGGGCCATACCTGAAGATTCACATCAAAAACAGCGTCGGCGTGCCGGTGCTGTTCTGCCTAACCCTCGTACGAACGCTGACAGGCGCGTCAGTTCTCCACGACGTCCGCTGGGACGGAATGGAACGCCTTGACCGGCAAGATGACGTCTGCGCATGGCGCCAGTGACGAACAGGGCCGCGACGTGAAGCCGTCCCTGTTGACATCTACAGGATCGGCGGGACCTGCATGAAGGAGAAGAAGGACCCGGCGATACCGGAAAGCCTTCTTCCCTCTCTTGTTCTTCTCCTTTTCCTCCGTTGTAACCCACACTTTCTCTTCGCCTATAAAAGGGGAAGCAGGGCACCCCATGAAGGGGGATCCAGATCCGCATGGGACCGAACCACAAGATAAAAACACAAAAGCATGACACGAACACACGGCTGAACAGCGATCGAGCTCAGCACCCGTTCACTCTTTCCACCAGAGACTTGGGATCATTTCCCTCTCTCGCCTGTTTGTAACCCCTACTGCAAACCAAGTGCCAGTAACACGAGTAGCAATGAACTGGACGTAGGGACGTTCCGCCTGAACCAGTATAAACCCTTGTGTCCTCCGAGCACACCATCCAGACCAGACGCGCAAATATAAATTTACTCATCGGTGGTCCGAAAACACCGACACTAAGTGGAATTATAAATTGCGTTGGTTGATTGTAATGGATTATGATAAACCCCGGAGAGTCCGGAAACAAAGTGTTGTTACATGTGCTAGTCGTTATGCTCGATATATATATATGTATGAGGTTAATTCAATGTTTCATATTTGTCTTCTTTTCATGGGATTGTCCAGTGACAACTTAAAAACTGTGAGAATATATACTAGGATGATATGGCCAACCTAGCGTGTCTTAGCTTGTTAGACCAGTCTCAATGGGAGTTTCATTAGTGTTTTATTTGTATTTAATAGCCTGTCACATATGTATTTTTTATGACATAGCAACGTTTTAATGAAGAGAGATAAGAATTAGGTTTCATGGGCATGAAACTCTCTTGACACAGTTACCAAATCTCTATGAGTCTAGAATTAAATGTCTATGAAACTATAGAATGAAACTTTCCATTGAGAATGGGCGTTTCATACAAGTTTTATTTTATTCTACATGACGTGGCAGTCTTGGAAACAATGAAATAAAACTCTCCACTGAGACTGGCCTTAGGACTTGCCTTAGGTTCAATACGGGTTCAAGTTTTTGATTTGGTATGCATTGGTTCTCGTGTTTTCATAGAGTTATTCTTTTTTTCTCAAATATGCAAAAATACCTGCACATATTTGTAATTAAGATAGAAGGTTGTGATTATATCAAGGAGCGAAAGCCCTCCCCCCCCTCCTTAGTCGGGCAAAGCAGGAAAAAGACAATAACACATAGGCCGTCCAAGAAAACAAAGTTACATACTTCGCTACTCAATAGCCAAACAACCAAGGAAGGTCACGCCTGCTTCGCAGGTCCGCCTGCGGCTTGATGGTAGCTAGGAGGTATTCCGTGGATAACTCTATGAAGCATCGGCCGTTCCACTCCTTGCAAGTTTCCCATACCACCGAGGTGAATAGAGAATATTAGGATTTGCAAGATCCGCTTCATAGAGTTATTCTAAAATGTTCCATTCCAAGAACTGTTGGTTCTTATGTTTGGGGAAAAAAAGGAATATTACGATTTGCACATGCATTGAGCTATATTTACAGCAAAGTAGCCACATATAGCTGTGAGCATAAATCGATCGATCCCTCACGATATGTCCCTTTATCTCTGCGTACCTTTTATGCCTTTTTTTCCTTTTGTGCAACCTATCCATTTAGCATAAACATACACTTTTTCTTTGTAGCATGCGATATGAGATACTTGTGGTTATTGCACTGTCACGTCGTCGACATATGCAAGAATATATTGTTGGTTTGGGTGACAATTCTCTACAGTAGGCGATAGCCCTCAAAAGGAGTATATGTAAAGCGAGTGGTGTGCTTCAGTTCTATGACTTCTTTGGAAACCTAAATAGTGCTATACCTGGTTAAATTCAGTGCATTAACATATAATAGCACTATGAGTTTTCCCTTCTGGGAATATATAAAGTACGGTTTTTACGCCTCATTTTTTTTGAGCCTAGTGCATTGCTATTCCGGCTGTTTTCGTGCAGCCGTGCAAGTGTGCGCTACGCCGGACGCCGCTATCAAGTTATTTGTTTGATGTATGTGTATTTATTTTAATTCATATGTTAGATTGGGATGAATACACGTGCGTAAAAAAAAAGCCTAAGTGATCAAGATCAGCGGATGGATCCGCGTAATAAAGTGAAACAGTTGAAGATTTGAAGTGAACGTACGTGAGAGTTCGTACTTGCTTGTACGTCTAGTCTAGTAATGACACTGGACAAATGTGTACGTATAGGCCACGGCCACTAGAAGCTAGACCGCTAGAGCCTGCAGAAAGCGAGACCAGTGCGGCCTGGTTTAGATCGTAAGTTT